TTAAAATATTCCAGGACTACCAAGTTCCAAATAATGACAGATCATTGTTCTCTTTCTTTGTTTACATGCACTCTGCAGACTCCCCTCTTGCTGTGTGAAACAGAGGGAATCTCTTTTCCCTTTGCCACATCAAATATTAAGAAGTTCCTTGAGGTGTTTGAGAACAGCACATGCTAGGCTTGCAGAACTCCTTTGCATAAATTTACATAAAAAACTGAAGATCATCGCACTCCCCGCAGAGTAACTGCTAGCCATAGTTGACACTACAATTGAAACAGTACAGCAGAAAGAGCTGCTGCTATATTTTTTTTTTTTGGTAGAAGGGCTTAAGATGATCAATTTTGTTTTTCTTTTTATCCATCAAAGCAGTGCCTTTACATTCCAGGAGTTGTGCAACGGAAGGAGGAGGTGAATGCTAATTTATATTACTTGCTTTTCAGAGCATTTTGAAAGATATCAACTAAACTAAAGTTAGGTGACAATATTACCTCATTAGATATTCCCTCTGATAGCAGTGATCATAGTGAACTCATAGGGTATTACAATAGATGTCATGTGTTTCTCCTTAAGAGTTCTATTATAATTCAGTGACTGCATGCTATTAAAGTAAAGGATTACACACTTAAAAATAAGTGGGCAGTCATTGTTGATTACTTCTGTACTCACTGTAATAACATTATCGCCATAACTTTATTTGGGTTACTGAAATATATGTAATATGCAATTCCATAAATTCAGTGATAGTGGCAACATATCAAATATTCATTTTAAATAAGAAGTTATCTGTCCTAATGCTTAGCTCTAATAAATCAGAAAAAAAATCAATTTAAAAGGAAAAAAAGCAGCACTTAACAATATGTAATACTTTCACACAATATAAAATAAAACTGGTTGAAATTTGTCCACCTATTTTAACTGTTGTATTTTTCCCCCCCCTTTTCATTGGAAAACCAAATGAAACTTTTTCATTTGCTGAAAACAGACTTATTTTTGATTTTCAGGTGGCCTGACAAAAAATGTCAACTTTCAACAAAATTAACAAATCTCTTCACTTTCACCAGAAGTTTTCAATAGAAAAATATAATTGTTCTATCAATTCTAAGTAGTAGAAATAACAATAGAACAAAATTTTCCCTTCCAATTTCAAAATATTTTGTAATACAGTGGGTGATCAAACCAAACACACTTCATGCATCACAAAGGATAAGTGATAATCTAATATAGACTTTATTCTGATCATGAATGTACCTCTGTTTTGAGCCTGCTATTAAATTTAGGATATTTGTTGTACACAAAATTATTTGCAGGTGATACTGTTTAAAGGTTTACCTTAAAAATCTGGTATTCAATCTACGGCTATGTCTAGACTGCAAGCCTCTTTCGAAAGAGCGCGTCTAGACTGCACGCGGAATTTCGAAAAAGCAAGCCGCTTTTTCGAAAGAAAGCACCCAGTGAGTCTGGATGCTCTCTTTCTAAAAAGCCTGTTTGCTGTCAAGAACACCTTCTTTCGAAAGAGCACTTTCGAAAGAAGGCGTTCTTCCTCGCGGAATTAGGTTTACCACCGTTGAAAGAAAAGCCGCATTCTTTCGATTTAATTTCGAAAGAACGCGGCTGCAGTCTAGACGCAGGTGAAGTTTTTTCGAAAAAAGGCTACTTTTTTCGAAAAAACCCCTGAGTCTGGACACAGCCTACATGACTGTGATACTCTGTACTCCATATGACACTGTGTACACCATGTCCTCCCCAGCACATATATTATGCACAAGTATGCCTCACAAGGTATCATTTAGGACTCATAAACTGCTGAATATTATTATCATGAAGAAACATGTAACACCACCACATCTGACATTATGAGATTTTACTATTTATTTATTATTGAAATATGTTACAATTCTGAGCAATGCCCTGAAACCTTTTCTCAAAGACAAATACACATCAGCACCACTGCTATAATGGCATTGCCTGATTAACGAGAGACTCATCAGCAGGGGAGATATAAACAAGAAATGTACAGTCCACCTGAAGGATGGTTGATAGCTCATGAGCACCATGGAACTAGCTCTCTGACTCAGGTAGAAACGGTCAGTATATAAAAAGGAAAAACAGTATAGAAATAGCCTGAGGAAATTTCTATTGAACAGCAAGATAGCATCCACGCAGGTGCATGAACGCATGTCCATTTGCATGTGTCAGTGATGAGAAACCTGTCTCATGGCTAGATCCATGAAATGTCTGGATCTTACTATTTATATTAAGTTTTGCTTATTTATTGACACAGTGA